GGCCGGGCGGTACTTCCGTGACTGCGGGAGGGTGAGTATGGGGGTTGCGCGCGGCGTCCCGAAGTCGGGGCTGAGGTCTATCTAGCCTTGGGCTGCCCGCCCGGGGCCCCAGCCCGGTCGTCGGAGGCGCCCCCTGGAGGATGAGGAGGGTGGGGGAAGGAAGAGGAGAATATTAATATTATTATTATTATTATTTCTCCATTCGGATTTGGAGCCGCACTCTGCGGCCCAGGCTGGAGTGCGGTGGCACGATCGCGGCTCACCGCAGCCTCGACCTCCTGGGCTCAGGCGATCCTTCCTCCTCAGCCTCCCAAATAGCTGGGACTACAGGCATGCATCACCATGCCCAGCTAACTTTTTGATTTTTTGTAGAGATGAGGTCTAGTTGTGTGGTCTCGAACCCTTGGGCTCACACAATCCTCTCACCTCGGCCTCTGAAAGTGCTAGGATTACAGGCGTGAGCCACCGCACCTGGCCTGGAAAAGGAGCGTATAATTGGATTGGATGATGTCAGGTGTGCGGGATCTGTGTAGACAAGCAGGAGTCGGCAAATGGGTTCAAAGGGAAGGTTTTTTTTCTTTTAAAAAGAAAGGCCCTGTATATAAACAGTGTTTTAACCCTTTGCACTCAGATGTTCCCTCTGAGGACACATCGTAAATCTAGCAAATCACTCGGATTCCCCTCTCAGGGAATGTAAAGAGATTGCTGGTGATTATACAGGACAGACTCAGGCCAGCGCAAATTTTTCAAAAATGACCATTCCCTTGAAGTTTGCCATTCAACAACAATGAAAAACCTATGTCCCGTTTGAATTTTGTCAAGCTTCTGATGGGTCTGTTGAGAAGTGGATTTCAGGCATCAGGAGTGCGTCCTTCTACTTCCTCTTTGAACAACAGAATGGACAATAATTCCATATTCATGTGAGAGAAAGAAAATGAGACTGCAATTGTCTGTTCAAATAGAAAAGCGCCAGGTGGAAGACATCACCCAAATTACTGTTGCACAACATGTGTCAATGAACCCGAAATGCACGTCGGTGACTGTTTCATGCATTGCCACACATTAGAAAAATGTATAACATTTTGCAATCTTTACCATAAAGAAGTTCCTCAATGTCCAAATTTCCATTATAAGCCAAATACCATTATAATAAAATAATTGGCTCCAAAGCTATTCTGTTAATAGGAAGGGGTTTGTTTTTCACTATTCTTAAAAATGCGGTCGAATGGCTGGTAGGTGATCCCTAAGATGTCTTTGAGTGCAAGGGTTAAAATTATCTTTGTGCCACCATTAGGTAGTTTTGGTAAGGGAACTGGTCCCTTGTCACCACCAGACCCAGTGAACGGTCAACCTGAGGTAGGGTCTGAGAAAGACAGGATCTTCCTGTGTGGCTGCCACCATGGAGTCAAATTAAAACTCATTTGGGAGGGAAATGAAATTAAGGATATAAAAGTAGGGTCCAAGCTAACAGTCATAAACAGTATGTAGTTTCTGTCAAATACTGTGCCAGGCAGGGACTGGATCTCTTCCAGCAGAGGACATGCTGTCTTCAAAGTATATGTCTTCCTCATTAGAAAAATGAAAGGCAACCTCCAGGTAGGTGGAGGGGAGGACAACACCAATTAGAATACTTGATCTCAGCCGGGCTCGGTGGTTCAGCCTGTAATCCCGTGCCTTGGAAGGCCGAGGTGAATGGATTGCCTGTGCCCGCGGGTTCAAGACCCGCCTGGGCAGGCGAGACCTCATCTCTATAGTAAAATCAAAAAATCAGCTGGGCATGGTAGCACGTGCCTGTAATTCCGGCTACTCGGAAGGCTGAGGCGGAAGAATTGCCGGAGCCCAGCAGGTCGAGGCTGCGGTGGCCGGGAGCGGCCACTGCACTCCAGTCTGGGCGACAGAGTGAGACTCCAACTCAAATAAAAAAAAAGAAACTTGATCTCAAACCAAGCAAAATTGGGACCAAAGGGAGGCCCAAACTTTACCTGTAGGATGACCACTTGTACCCTCCCCCCACATCTTTAAAATTAAAACAGAAAAAGGGGGAAAAAAGAGAATATTTTATATTCTTGGACTGTCTCTACAAGCAATGCAAGATCTGCAGCAGTGACTGCCACCGGGAAAGGGAACTTGGGATATGGGAGTCTGGGACTAATGGAAAGGGGCATAACATTTACTCCCTCTTATTTTTATCTTCTGAATTTGGTACATTGTCTGTGTATTATCTACTTAAATTTTAAAAATAAAGGAAGTCTTGGCCAGTGACCTTTGGCCAACTCTCAGGAAAAAAAAGTTAAAGGCAACCCACGGCAAAATAATTTGGTAAAAATGTCTTATTTTACCTCCTTTCTAAAGAGTTGTGCCCTAATACATATATCTTGGAAAACACAAATAAACGTAATAAAACTTTTCCAAGTTGGTAGAAAACCAAAGCTTCTGGAAGAACTGTGCAGATTCTTAAACATTTTGAGGTTATCTGTGATGTCTAGAATATTCTTTTACATAGTAAGCACTAAATATTATTTTGTGTTTTTTTTTTTAAGTCAAAGGCAGGAACTGTTCTTTTAAGGGCTATATTTCATTAGGAGAGACAAAACAAACATGAAAAGTTGCATAACCATAAGAAATGTAAATGTACCATTTGAGATAGTTGTCAAAAGGGAACCTATATTTAGAATGCAAAGAGCTGGTGAGTGCTTGAAACATTTACCGTTCAGCTGATTGTTGCCACCAAACAGATGTTCTGATTTTCTCCAACACAGGACAAAAACATCTAAATTTAAATGTGATTTTTAATGTTATTGGTAACCAGTTTAGTTCACACACACGCTCTGTAGGTGGGCCAGGTACAATTCGTTTGTGAACTCTGCAGATTTTCCACCTTAAGTACAGATGATCCTGAGGGTTCCGTTTAAGATTTTTTGAGTTTACAATAGGTCTGTCCAGATGTAACCCCATCATAAGTCGAAGAGCATCTGTATTCAGAAATGATTGGTGTTAGAGGTCAGAAAAAATCCTGGAGATGGGAATCATCAGAATGTAAGGAAATGGTGGAATTTAAGCTGAGCAGGATGGGAGAGGTGCCATGAGGGTGAGAATGTGAACCATGAGTAGAACCTCGGAGTTGGGAGAAGAAGGGCAGGTTTGGAAGATGATGAGTTAACTCCTTAGAGGAGATCTGGAGGGCAAGTGTAAGAAACAAAGAAAATCTGTCTAATGTCAGACAGATAAGATGACTTTACCCTGGGCAGGGCTTCTCAAAGGTGAGTCGGCATCAGAACCAGCTGGAAGGCAGTTGGCAGTCGCTGGGACCCACTTTCAGAGTTTCTGATCCAGAAGGCCTGGGGAGGGGCCCGAGTTTCCACTTCTCATCGGTTCTCAGGTGCTGCTGGTCTGAGAACCACGCTTGGAGAATCCCTGCTGTAGGGTGTGGGGAACTATTGGAGGAGTTTGAGGAGGAGAGTAAGGAGACAACATTCACGTTTGAGAACAATTCTTGCTGTGAAGTCCCAGAGAAAGACTGGGAGAGAAGAAGAAGTTTCCTTAGGTAATCAGCCCCTGCTTCACTCCAGGCCTTGTAGGCTTTCTCATGCACCCTGTGTCATTTCATAGTTACCTTGATGGTTCAGTCTTAGAGTGTGCATTTTGCAGATGGAGAAAACTTCAAGAATATGAGAGAATGCCCAGTTACCATAGTGGTCTCAGAGCTTCCTACGACAAGTGCAGACTTGAAGAGGGTGATGGCAGTGTGAATGAATCAAAACATTGAACAGTGATGGATTTTTTAAAAATAGAGACTTCCCAAGCACGTTGAAACTTAAAAGTAGGAATTGGGAAAACTTGGAAAAGTGATAAAAGGTAAAGTAGACTGAGAACTTTAGAGAATCACTGCGCGAATTCAGTGTGTACCCTGTATTACTCTTAAATAATGACCTGTTTAAAACCTACCTAAAAGTTGCTTATATTAAGTCATTCTACTCTACAGAAATTTCCTGAAATTATTTGGAAAGGAGAAAGGAAAGCCTTCTGTGGGGGGTGCTGGGAGATGGTGAACAGATTAATGGCATTTGATGGCTTATCTTCAAATCAAAAGTGACTAGCCTTGAGAAATGGAAACACACAGTGTAACACCACGTTGCCTGTATGAATTGTGCTGTGTCGCAGATGCTGACCTAATGTATTGATTTTGGAAATCTGTATGTTTTTTCTTGCCAGAGTAGTTATTGAAATTGAGAATATTCCTTGGATCAATTTCAAGACAAATATCCCAAGTCAGACTGGCTGCTGCTGAGCAAATTTTTAATAAAGGAAAACATCTATATATTGAAATCAGACTTTAAAAATAAAGTCCTTAAAATAAATATATATTTACTGTAAAATCCAGAAAGATGTACATTTTAAAAAATCAATTGATGAGTAATCAGTGTAATGGAGATATTGACCCATGCAAAATTATGTCATACATTCATTTATTCTGTGAGCAATCAACTGTGCTGTAACTCCAAAGATAACTCATAGTTTAGGGGAGACTGACATCTTAAGAAATGGCCACCGTCCAGTTTAATGAGTGCTGTTATAGAGGATGTGGCCAGTACATGATGGCAGAAGTGGCTTCTGAGGGGGTGGGGCAAGAAGGCCTGGGAACTCCATAGAGGGGAAGACATTGAGTTGGCTCTTGAAGGCTGAGAAGGAATTTGTGAGATGATTAAGGGAGAAGAGGGCATTCCCATCAGAAGGAACATCATGGGCAGTGGCCAAGATGGATAGAAGAATGTAGCTGTTCCTGGGATCGGTGTGAAGAGCAGAATAGTTACTGCGGGTGGTAAGAGTGGAAGAGGGGAATAAATTAAGCTGGGGAGTTGGAGAAGAGTCCTCATAAAGAATATGAAATATTTATGTAATGACTGTCTTGGCTGGGTTGTAAACTTCTTGATGTTAGGAGCCATGTTTTACCCATGATATCAGTGTATTCCAAGGCCTGGCACAGAGTCTAGCATATAATAAGTTTTCAGTAAATATTTGCTGAATGAATGA